TGATGGATAGGAATCACCACAGGCAACAAGACGTTTATTGGAATCATAGAGCATCCATAGCTGCCCCTCATACTCCGACTCATACAGATACTCTCCAAGCAGAGGGCTAGAAAAAAGAAGAAAAAAGGAATCATACTACCAGTCAGCAAATAGTCAACCCTTGCTATAATGCCACCACTGGTAACTAAATAATCTACTGGCCATGATTTAGGCGCTATAATATAAATTTGCATCAGCTATCCCTTCCTATCACTGAATGATGTGATAACAGATGGTTTTTCCATCTGTCACTGAGGAACAAGTAAAATTCATTCTTTCCCTACATCATTAGAGTGGATTCCATTGAATCAAAGGAGACTCACTTCTCAGGTGAAATCTCCACTGAACGAGAGATGTTGAAGTTGTAAGTTAGCACCAGAGCAAAAATCCTCCTACCAACAGGAATCACATCTCTAGATCCAAGTGGCTGGATTTTTGATTCAGCAGGTCTGCAAAGGAAAAGACCAAGACAAAAACAATGAATTATAGAAATCCAAAATCCACCTTAAGTCAAGTGTGAGAAAGGAACCTCTTCTGTCTAATGCCATTAAACTCTATTACTGCTACAGATGAGTTGACTCAATTACAGAAGTCGTTTATTCTTTACAACAGGTATACCAAAGGCTTTCCGATGCAACAGGAACCAGTCCAAACACCAGCGATGTCCTTCATTTACATATGCTAAAGACCTTAACTTTAGCTAGTATCAGAAAACATGGAAAACCAAAGTAAGAAACTTAGTACATGGAAAAAATTACCAATGAAAACAGATTCTTTTCTGGATTGTGGACGCTCTCATTTTTGTTTGGACCAATAAAGGAGAATACAAACATTGCAATGTTACTTGCTAATACTAATTGTCTAACATTTTCCCCTTTGTTTCCTGTGCAGCTTAGAAGTGTTTGATGAGACATTTCTACCCATTGCCGCAAAACTTAACATGACTCCTTCAGCCCTTTTTTTTCCTTATTATGGTAAGATCCCTTCTCAGTGAATAGGAAAGAGTCCACATAAGACATTAGTAAACAACATTTACAAACATAACAACACAAACCTCAAAACAAGAACATGGTTCTTCAGCGTG